AGAGGTCTGCCCGCCCTGGGGTCACCTCCGGGGCAGGCGGGGATGGAACTCATGCGGAAGTGGTTTCAGCCTCCCGGTGCTTTAACCCGCTGCGCCCCCAGGGAGGGCCGCTCTGAAGGTTTTTTAGGAAGCCCAGCCAGCTGCCCAGTGCGCTCACACAGCCTGCTGGCTGCATCTGATCCCCACAGGGAGACAGACAGGCGCGCGGTGCGCGAGACCTGTTCCCAGCGCTGCTTCTTTGTCTCTGCAGTACGAGTTCTCCCCCCAGACCTTGTGCTGCTACGGGAAGCAGCTGTGCACCATCCCTCGCGACGCTGCCTACTACAGCTACCAGAACAGGTAGGCCGGGCGGGGTCTGCCGGCTGTGAGCCAGCGGGGGCCTCTTTCTGGGGTCCCAGGGAAATGCCACTTTCCGTGCTCCAGACTCAGTTTTAAAGCCTACGTTTTGCAGCATAAAAATCAGTGAAAACTGCGTGGTGTGCTGCTCGGCTCAGGCGCCTGGTTCTGAGCCCCGGCCCGCGGCCAAGGGGCCCGAGGAGGAGTCTGGGCGGGGGAGGAGCCCTGCCGAAGGCCACGCCCCTCTTCGAGTCGTAAAGCTGGACGGTGCTGCCCCACATGAATGCCTGGGTGGTGTGGCCTGAGCGGTCGGATGGGCAGGTTGGACTTGATGCTCATTCTTTCTTTTTGATCAAAACCCTGTGACTTTTTAAGAGACCCGAAGTGCTGCGCAGAATCAGGCGCGGCGCTCTCCTCCAGCTGGGGGACGCTCCCTGCGGTGACGAGGCCGGCCGGGCTCCCCGGGGGCTAGCCGCTCTCCGAGCCCGCCCCGCTCGGGCCGCACGGGGGATTTTGATGGCCCGGCTTCTGTCGGTCGCCCCGAGCTGCGGAGCGCCTGGCCAGGCGCCGTGACCCCACTGTGCCTCGCGGGTCGGCGGCGGGACGTGGCGCGCACCCAGCTGGGCCGTCACGCTCGCCCCCCCTTCGGGTCGGCGTCGGCGCCAGGGCCTGGCGTTCGGAGGCTCTGAGCCGGCGTGCGACGGGACCGCGTGTTCTCGTATCTTGAAGCCGAGGAGCACTTGTTAGTTCAGAGCTACCTTCACAGGCCAGAATGTTGTTTTCTTTGAAATTCAGTTTTTAAAAGTATTTTAATTGAACCAAAAAAAGTCTCACCGTAAAGCTCAGACTCTAACTTGGGTCTCGGGCCCGCGTCCCCTTCGGACTGGGCCTCCCCCGTCGCGACCTGTGCCCTCCCCGCCGCCAGGCGCCAGGGAGGCGATCACAGGCGCTCGCCTTGGGAATGGAAGCGCTAGAGAGCAGGTCAGAATGGGCTGCACCCTGGGAAAAGTCCTGGCCGCGGGCTGCTCGCCAGGCCCGGGCC